TACACATTCTTGGATTTCTCTTCTTTTATGTTCTGTCTTCATAATACCAACATGCCATTCCATTTTTATTAGTTTCCTTACTCATGTTGGTAATATTTTTCCACCAAACAGCAAACTCTGAAGTAATTAAGCAAAAGAGCCAGAAATTTTTACAAGTAGAAAGTAATGAGATTAGATTTACAAGATATTAAAATATAATCTAAAGCTTTAATAGATAAAACTATGTGGCACTGACATATGATTACACTGACAGATCACTGTGGATCCCAGAAAGGGCTCAATGTATGTAGGCATTCAGCAAGTTGTCAAAGAGGCATTTTAAATCAGTAGAGGAAGTAAAAGATTGTCCAAAAAATGATGTTGAGACCACTGAGTAAAAACATATGAAATAAATGAGATTGGCACTATGAAAAACAGTAGGAAGGCACCTCAAAAAACTAAAAATAGTACTACCATATGATCCAGCAGTAACATTCCTAGGCATATATCTAAAGGAATGTAAGTCAGGTTATAATAAAGACACTTCCACACCCATGTTTATTGCAGCACTATTCACAATAGTCAAACTATGGAAACAGCCAAGATGCCCCACAACTGATGAATGGATTAAGAAAATGTGGTATTTATACACAATGGAATTTTCTTCAACCGTAGAGAAGAATGAAATTTTGTCATCTACGGGTAAATGGATGGAACTGCAGAACATCATCTTACGTGAAGTTAGCCAGGTTCAGAAAGACAAAGTTCACGTTTTCTCTCATGTGGAAGATAAATTCAATACAAATACAAGCACTTCCATACATGCATATAAATACATACTGAACATGTTCCAAAAGTGGGACCATTAGAGGAAACTAAGAGAGGGGAAAAATATGGAAAGAATGATAGAACATGAGTAATAAAGAATACAGGATAGGGGAAAGGGTGAGAAGGAGTGGTGGAGGGAGGCTAGACTGACTTAAGCACAAAATATTTACAGGTAAAGCTAACAAGCCAAAATCCCCCACTGAAATGTAAAAAAAAGGTCATGTTGAGGAAAGGGCACTAGTGGGAGGGGAGGGTAAATGAGGAAAATAAAGACAGTGAATATGGTTAACATACTTTCTATATAAATGTGAATATGGAACATTGAAGTGTATTGAAGTCACCATAAGGGGAGTGGGGTAAGAGGAAGAATGATGGAGGAGATGAACCAATTCTTGGTATAATACTACATGTATATATGGAAATGTCATAGCAAACCCCCTGTATTACTCTCGTAAACTAACAAAAATGTTCTTTTTTTAATAAATGAAGGACAGGAAGGTAAAACAGGTCATGTGTGTGGGTATGTACCAGTAAGAGGGGGAGAGCATAAGGAAAGGGTAAAGGAGGGTGAATATGGTGGAAGTATTTTGTACTCATGTATAAAATAGAACAAGAAAATCTGTTGAAATTGTTCTAAGAAATGGGAGAGGGGGATAAAGAAGAAAGATGGAGGGGTGAATCTAATCAGCATATATTATAAGCACTTATGTAAATGTCATAATGTATACCCTGTACTACTATAATATGCTAATAATAAAAATAAATAACAGAGAAAGATTTAAAAAATGAAATGAGACTGAATCTTTTTCTTGTACCTTTATACCAAAATAAATACCAGATGGACAAAACTTCAAACTTTCTACCCAGAAATTATAATTCCCAAGTGATACATGTACAAGAATATGTGTGTTTTAGCAAATGGCTCTACCATTTTAAGCCAGTAAAATCTAAGTTCTAGACTGCCCAGTCCTTGCCAGCATAATCTTTCACTCTCTTTACCTTTGAGCCATTTTAGTCAGATGCACGGTAGCAACTTGCTTTGCTTTTTTCCATTTCTGGTAACTAGTGATGTGGAACGCCTTTTCACGTGCTTGTTAGGCGTTCGTGTATCTTTGATAAGCTGTTTAAGTGATTAGTTTTAATTTTTTATTAAAATTCTTTATATGTTTGGGATATAAGTCTGTTGTCTAGTATATGTTTTGTGAGTATTTTCTTTTCTAGTCATTGGCTTGCCTATTTTCCAAATACTTTTTCTGAAGACAACAGTGTAACTTTTAGTGAAGTTTGACTCATTGGTTTTTCTTTTGTCTTTTGTGTACTAAAAAAAAAAATCTTTGTTACACCCTAAGGTCAAAAAATTTACTCCCTGGGCTGGGGTGTGGCTCAAGTGGTAGAGTGCCTGCCCACCTAGCAAGTACAAAGTCCTGAGTTCAAACCCTAGTGCTGCCCCCTCCAAAAAAATTTTTTTACTTTTTTTCTACAATTTTTATATTTTTAGCCTTTATTTTAGCTTTTTTTCCCAAAATGATCTGCAGTAAAAAAAAGCAAAAGAAAGTTTAGAACTGCTGCTTTACTCTGCTGTTTAGTCTTTTAGATTCAATAGTATGTATAGCAGCACATCAATGATCCCAAATAAAGCAGTTTCTGAATTAATGAAAAGATGAACTGCTTTTGGTTAAAAAGAAAGGAAGGAAGGAGGGAAAGGAAAGGAAAGGGAAGTGAAGAGAGGGAGGGGAGGAGAGACGGAGGGAAGGAAGGGTGGTTTTTAATAAGATAGGTAGCAGTGGAATATATGGCTTTTACATAATCCTGTTATGAATTTTAATGTTAAATAGGAATATAGACCACCTGAGACTGCTCCTTACAGATGACCTTTGACTGACGTAGGGGGCAGTAAGGCATTAACAGTGCAGTGTACACCCAGGAAAATTAAGAGCTGGAGACTTGAGTTCTAGTCTTCACCCTGTCACCTGCTCCTGTTGAAAGGAAGATAATACTGGCCCTCGGCCCGCAGGTCTTCCTACTTCATCTGGCATGAAGTCCAAAGCACATTCAAGGCCTCAATTCATTCCCAGACTACCTTTCTATTGCTGCAGTGCCTGCCCTTTCCTCCTTCACAGTTACCTGCTAGTGGGCCAAACTCTGTACCTCTGTTGTCCTGTTCCCTTTATCCAGACTCTTCTCTTTCTTTTCTGTCCTGCCCTAGACAGTCAAGTTTTTAAGGCCCTATAAAACTGCACATCCTCCCTGAACCTTCTTGGGCCTCTCAAGCAGGAAGGAGTGTTGCCTTGTGTTTGGTTTCTGCCCAGCCTCCCCGTTAACCTACAGATGGAGTGCTGTGTGTGCTGGTAGGGCAGTGCCTGTGCTTCGCAGCTGTCCGTGTGCCATTTCGTCATGGCTCACACAGTGGGCTTCTTTGGATGCCTTTCTTTCTCTTTTTTTCTTATTTTCGTTAGTGAACATTAATCGTACAAAATAACGGCCTCATTATGACATTTTCACCTGTACACGATGCGTTTTGATCACATTCATTCCCTCATTATCCTCTCTTCTCTCCATTCCTGCTTGTGCCCTTCTCCTTTCTAAATAGCTTGTAAGTGCCTTTCTGATGGAGAGCAAGTGACGAGTTCTTGAACAATATTCTTTGTGGTAAGTTTTGCACTAGGTAGTGTTTTATCAAGCTGTGGTGTGGCCACTGGCTAGGTGCCAGTGGCTCACGCCTATAATCCTGGCTACTTGGGAGGCTGAAATTAGGAGGATCATGGTTCAAGGCCAGCCTGGGAACTAGTTCATGAGACCCATCTCCAAAATAACCAGAGCAAAATGGACAGGAAGTATGGCTCAAGCAATAGAGTGCCTGCTTTATAAGCAGGAAGCCCTGAGTTCAAATCCTAGCCCCACAAAAAGTAAATAAATAAAATACTACGTTGCACAGGTAAGCGTTGTCTAACAAAAGTTTTTGTTCTACTCATTTGCTTATATGTTTACTGTGTTATGATGTAAAATATATTTTTTACTATGAGTTATATTAAAAACTGAAAAATATTGCCTAAGTTTTTAACTGCTATGTGAATTTTCAATTTTAATATTCAGAGAAGAGATATTTGGAATTTCTCTGTTTTTATGTATGCATTACCCATTACTGAATGATTTTTTTTCTTCATCATTTATTAGATAGCCTTTTTTGGTTTGGGGTATATGGTTGAATTATAAATATGTAGAAATCATTTTTCTGAAATAGAATTTTTGAAGAAACCTTGGAGGGAAATTTCAGTTTTCCCTGAAATTTCTATTATTTTTTTATTGTACATTTAATAGTTTAGATTGCTTATAGAAGTTTGTTGATAAGACAGTACTTTTTAATACATCAGATTGGAATGAGTGTTATCAGCTGAGTCTATAAATTAAAAAAAATTGTGACTGAGGACAGTGAAATTCCATTTGGAAAATAAGTTCATTTTATTCAGTTCTCTGACATATGAAGAAAAGTTTTACTTTGTTATTCACTAGCTTTTAAAAACTTGATTTTAGCTATCTTAAACAAGCAAAAATGTCTTTTTAAAAAAAGAACAAGAAGGTAAAACAGGTCCTGTTTAGGGGTTGGTAAAGTGGGAAGGAGGAGGGTATAAGGAAAGGGTGCAGGAGGTGAATATGTGGAAAAATTATGTACTCATGTATGAAAATGGAAAAATGAGACCTGCTGACACTATTGTAAGAAGGAGGGGGAGGGGAGATAAGAGGGAATGATGAAAGGGTGAATCTGGCTAAGATATATTGTAAGCACTTTTGTAAATGTCACAGTGTTCCTCCAGTACAACAATAACATGCTAATAAAAATGAAATTAAATTAAAAAATAAAAACTTGATTTTGAAACTAGGTATTGTTAATAATCAGTTTTGCAAGAATTGTGTTAAATGTTTCTTACAAAAAAGAGTAAAACTCAAATCTTCAAAATCAACGTAGCCTAAAGGACACAGTGACTCCTGAAGGGCAGCTTGTCACTTTAGAGAGTCACACGTACATTCTCAAGATGGGACAGTGATCTCTAACAGGCCGCATAGTATTTACAGTCAGGCTCTTTCTGGTTGATGTTAAGTGTGTGACTCAGATCTTTCCTGGTGCTTAGAGCCTTGGAACTCAGGAGTTGCTGTGTCAGTAATGCTTGTGCCTTTTTTCCTTTACTTCTCCTTAGGGTCAATATAGACCTTCTGACTTGTTGTGTCCTGAGACATATGTGTGGGTACCCATTGAGCAGTGTCTGCCTTCACTGGAAAAATCCAAGTACTGTCGTTTCAACCAGGACCTAGAAGCAGGTATGTTTGGAGCAAAGGTTAGCTGGAAGTCATTGACTTTGTTTTCACAATTCAGACTATGGCTTTTTGCAGGGACCGACTAACTTTTTATAGATTATAGAGTGTACATGAGTACATTTGCACTTGTGTGTGTAAGATGAGAAGGACACTGAGTTTGCATGCACTTGCATGTGCACACATACATACACACAGTTGGCACATATTTAAGAAATCTCATTACTGTGCCATTTGCTGTCCTGGCTTTTCCAGTTGGACTAGGTTTTACATGCTTTGCTGGCTGACACCATTATCCATTTCTTTTACAGATATTAGAGTGCTTAAAAATTGTCCACTAGATTTATTATTTGGCCAATGTAGAGAAGATAGAAATACTGACCAGTTGAATTGAATAAAATTGTAGAATACTGTCATGGAAGCAAACAGGCTGCGATAGCTTACTTCTTACATTTCTGGTATGTTCGCTTTTCTTATCCTGTCCTTTGCTTCCTGCCTAGTTTTGTTTTACATTATTCCAGTTTGGATGTTAGTCTGAACTAATTTGTACAGACACTAAAAGTTTGTTTAGCCTTGGACTCAGACTTCCTGGATTCAGATTCTGGCTTTGTTCTCTGCTGGTATACTGTGTTCTTGTGCAGTTAGAAGATCTCCCTGCCCTCAGATTCCTCCTCTTTACTATTAAGATAATTTTAAGACCTACCTATTTGATCAGAGTACATCATATGCATGTAGGAAAATGTCAGAATGACCCATTATTTTCTACAATTAATGTATGCTGATAGTAGTAATGATAATAGGACCTATCTTATTGAACTACAGTGAGTACTAAAATAAGACAAACATGCCAAAATCTCCCCCTATTGTTTTTGTTTTTTTTTTTTTTGGTGGTTGTACCCAAATTAGAATGCTGCATTGCATGCATATATGTCACAATTTTTGGTCTACATTTATTTTTATTTGCTCTGTATCTTCTCTCTAGAGAAGTGTGTGTTCTGTTTACCTCTCTATAGTCTGAGTACCACTAACAGTTTAAAATAGTACTGATCCTAAGGTATTGGACTGAGGTTTTGTTAGCTTGACATGAATTTGATGCTCTGGGAATGGGATGTATTACATTGACAGATGTGGCTTCCCCAGACTGAAAATGCTTGATGTTCCAAATTATGCTTAACTGAGCTTTGAATCCTCACACAATCCACCACAAAAGAGATATCTGAAACATACTTCTTAAGAACACAAACATTTTCTGCTACCCTCCTGTGATCTAAAAGAGAAGAAAGTTGGGCACCAGTGGCTCATGCCTATAATCTTAGCTATTTGGAAGGTTAAGATCAGGAGGATTGCAGTTCAAGACCAGCCCAGGAAAACAGTTCTAGAGCACCTATCTCCAAAGTAACCACAGCAAAATGAACTGGAGACATGGCTCAAGCAGTAGAATACCATCTTTGCGTGCATGAAGCCCTGGGTTTCAAACCCCAGTACCACTGGGGGAAAAAAAAAACCCACAAAAACAACAACAAAAAAAAAATGCAAAGGTCTGGTGGAGGAGAAAGGAGTAGATGGAGAAAATCAAATGGGAGGAAGCAAGGAAAGAAATGTAGTAATTGCTACAGTTCTAAGATGTTCAGTTTTTCCTTTTTAAAAATTAGGTCATATAATGTATTTTGTGACCTCCTTGAAAAGCTATTATAAAATCAAGAGTGGTACTTCTTACCCATGGTAAGACTTTAGAATCTGGTGAAGAGTGGCCTCAGGCACCCTGGTGTTGGTTCCAGGTTTTCCAAATATTCAGGTTTTATAGCATAACCAGGGCTTTATCTTTGCTATACCTTAAATTGCTAATCAGAATGGATTGTTCATTCCAAGTTACACCTCACTGATCACAAAGTACAGTGCTTAAAAATAAGCATCATATTTGTCATTCAGCATTGGAGTCAGGCACATAGCCAAAGGTAATAGTGTTGTAGATAACAGCACATAATTACTCCTCTCTCCTCTCGAAGACAATAAAGAAATAAATAAACTCTCCTCTTAGCTTTATGGAGCCAGTACGTTATGGTGAAAACTGCTAAATATCTTGAATTATTTTATATTCACATATACAAGTTTATAAGTTTCTCTGAGTAGTGTTGTGATCTTGAATTTGTTCTTAACTTCCAAAATTATGACACATTTTCACCTCCTCTTTTTCCTTTTAATCTATTTTAAAGGTTGCTTCTTTTCCATATACACACTTGGAGATTAATGAAATTACAAGTCCTTGCTTTATAAAGTTGAGAATGTGACTGAGTAATTTCCATGCACTAAATAGACATGCAAGTAAATACTCATACAGTTTCTAGACTTTAGAATTCTTTTTCAAAATAAGTGCCAACAGCCATTTCATGGAAAAGATTTAAAGTCTGATGTAGACCATTTTTATCAAGAACACACACTCTTCTGACAAGTGATGAATACATAGCATGTTCTTTCCCTGTAATCTAGTTAATTTTCATAGCAGTGGCTCTGCCTCTTAGTACTCATTGGTTAGAATTCATGTACAAAACTCAGAGTAAATTTCTTTAAGAGTAATGCCTCAAAGAAAATGAAGATCCTTTTCCATCTGCAGAGTCTTTGGAACTTTCAAGAGAATACTGTACAGTTCTATCAATATTGAATATCACATTCCAGACACTTTTTGAATTCAGACTTACATCCTGTGGTTTTAGGAAATTAAAATGCAGTTACATGCTGGAATGTATTAAGCCTGCTGTGAAACATGGCCATTGGAGGTTTAAGTGGCAGTCTGTGAGAAACTTTCCTCTCCAGGGCCAGTTTTACTTTTACATGACCCGAACTCTGACTCAGAGAAAATCCAGAGCTTAATATGGGTAATTATTGTTCATCCGCGTGGTGATTGTTTTTCCTCCCAGCTGTAGTGCAGTTGCTCTATGGAAGGCACAGCTGATCACCATAGTCCTGTAAAACCAAGTGTGCCTTCAGGTGCAGCAGTGGCCAGTTGTCAGGAAAATCACACTTTCTCCCTATCCTACACTGCTGTAAGCCTCTGGAACCCCCCCCCCAACACACACACACACACACACACCCCAAATACACACACACAGCCCCCTGGAACCCCCCCAAAACACACACACACGAATGACCCCCCCAACACACACCACACACCACACACCACACACGAATATCCAGTTGTGCTCAGCCCCCTCTCTTTACAGATTTGGAATCTTTGGTTATTTGCTCAACTAATAAGTCTGTGTAACAGTAAAAACCTTTTGTATTTACTACTTAGTGGTACTACATAGGGAGGGATTGGCAAACTGAAATAACTTGCGAAAGTCTAAAAAAATTATCTTGTTCCTAAATAGGTCTTTACGGTGTGTATTAGGTTGGGTTTTTGTTGTTGTTGTTTGTCTGTTTTGTTTTTTTGGCAGTACTGGGTTTTTTGTTTTTTTGGTTTTTGGTTTTTGGCGGGACTGGAGTTTGAACTCAGGGCTTCGGACTTGCAAAGCAGGCACTTTACTGCTTGAGCCACATCTCTAATCCTTTTTGCTCTGTTTTGGAGATGGAGTCTCTCAAACTATTTGCCCAAACTGGCCTTGAACCACTATCCTCCTGATCTTAGCCTCCCAATAGCTTTGATTACAGACATAAGCCACCAGCGCCTGGCAGTACTGGGCTTCATCCTTGGTAGGCAAGTGCTCTACTGCTTGAGCCATGCTTCCACCCTTTTTGATCTAGTTATTTTGCAGGTACAGTTTCGCTTTTTGCCCAGCTAGCCTGGAGAACGATCCTCCTATTTTATGCTCCTATTTTTGCTGGGATGACAGGTATGCACCACCACACACAGCTTTATTCTGTTGAGATGGGGGTCTCATTGTCTGTGATCGTCTTGATCTTAGCCTCCTGTATAGCTTGGGATGGCAGGCACACACCACTATACCCAGCTATTGATTGAGATGGAGGTCTCACGAACTATTTGCCTGGGCTGAACTTAAATCAGACCTTACTAGTCTCAGCCTCCTAAGCAGTAGATTTAGAGGTTTAGATTGTTTTAGATGTAAACACCTGCTGTTAGACTGTTTTAAAATTGATAGTTGGATATGTGTAGATTTTAAAAACTCTACATCACTGTTACATCTTCCTTTTTTTTTTTTTTTGCTTAAGTTATTTTTTACAAAAAATACTGAGAAACCTAGTTGAAAATTTACCAAAGTATGGACTTAGTGGTAGAGTGCTTGCATAGCTTGTACAAGGCAGTGGATTCAAGTTTAGAAAAAGAAAATTTGCACATGCATAAAACCACTACTCAGAGGAAAAATAAAATGATGTATAATTTTGTGATGTAGCATTGTTAACATTTTATGCTCTCCTCTGTGCTTTTTTCTCCTGTGCATACATCTGTACACAGATATACATGTAAAAAACAAGACATGCTGCATGATTTTGTTGTTGCGTTTACTTCATACTTCGTGCTACTTCACTTTTCATAAGATTAAAACTTTTTTAGTAAAGTAAAAACTACTTGGCCATTCATTTGATCATTCAGCATACAAGTGTTAATACTGTGTGGCAGGCAGTGTCTAGCATACATACTTCACAGAAAAGCATCATGGAAGGGTTGTCCATATGTTTGGAGCGGGTTTTAGAGCCATGATAAACTATGATTTGATTTGATTTACAATTTTGGACAAACAGTGTATATTATTTCTCATTGGTATAAAATCCTTCGTTCCAGATTTAGAAGTAAAATGAAACTTTATTGAGCATATGATATTTCCCATATGATATTACTCATCTTATTCTTAGATCATAAGTGACCATTTTATCATTGAGCCCTGAAATACTTGTTGCAAAAATACATGTAAAATTTCTTGTCTTAGAGGATTAAAAAATAATTTTTATTCCAGTTTTGTTCTATAATTTTTATAACTACAGTATTTTTAGTATTTATTTCAAAAAGTCTAGTTAGAATAATTTTATTTCTGTTTCCACTTACAGTGGCA